CCAAAATATATGACAAAAAAATATTTGCAACTTGAATGTTGGAGGAAAATCAGAAAAGATAACCATGAGAGAGAAAAAAAATTAAATGGGAGAGAGAATTAACAATTTGAAAAGATAAATATGAGAGAGAATAATTTTTTTAAAAATAAGGATATATAGAATTAATTGAAAAAGAGAGATAAAATAGGAAGAAAATTGGGACACATAAATTTTTTAAAATAATGACATTTTTGACATTATTGCTAATATTTATAAAGTATGGATATTTTACTAAATATGTTATTTATTTTGACTACTTTACTAATTTTTCCTTTAAACATTTCTATTAGTAGAGTGTAATATTACTATTTAGTGATTTTCTTTGTTTTTTTCTAAAGGGTATTTCTCTTATCGTTTTTGTTGGTTATAGATTTAAAAGTTACATAAATAATATTATAAATCACAATAATTAACAACATAAATATTTAAATGTTATATAAAAAAAAATTGATTGATTCTTGATTCTATTGGTACCACATAAAATGGGTTAGATGATAAACATATATTTTTTTGTAATTGACGTAGAAAGTACTATAAAGCACATTAATTTAAAAAAATTTAAAAAAAATAAAATGCATTTAAAAAAATCACTTGACTCCAAAAAGTCTATCAATGACACATAACTCGAGACATGGAAACTTGGAAAGTAACACATTATTTGAAAATTACGTTAAAAAGGTACTATAAATTACAATAATTAACATAAGCCTAACTTTTGAAATCCTATATATTCCACATAAATTGAAATAAAGCGAATAATATATATTATTGCTAAAATTATGTAAAAAAAAGTACTATGTTAAAATAATTAACAACCTAAAATATTTTCAAGTCATACATATATTATCTGAAAATTACATTAAAAAGGTACTATAAATAACAACAATTGACAGTTTAGTATATTTAGAAGACATAAAAAAAGTTTACTTTTAAAATCTTAAATATGCCACAATTGAAACATGGAAAATAATATATATTATTGTAAAAACAGAAAAGTGTAAAAAGTACCCTTAAATTATCTGTAATAGATCCTATTTATCCTTAAACTATATTTCGGCTCAAACCTACCATTTTCGTCAAACTATTGAGTCAAAAGTATCATTCTTATTAACATAAGTTGTTAAATGTCACGTGGGTGTCATATTACACGTAAATAGGGTTCCAATGTCACATAGACTAAACGAAAAAGGGTAAAAATTACTCTTAAATTATTCAAAATAACTCATACTAACCTTAAACTATATTTTGGCTCAAACTATCTTTCCCGTCAAACTATTGGGTTACAAGTACCCTTATTGTTAAAGGAAGTTGTTAAATACCATGTGAATTCCACATCACATGCCAATAAGATTTCATTGTCATGGACTAAATCCATAAATCCTAATTACAGTGGCGAACCCAGGATTTTTACGAAGTGAGTTCAAAGATATAAAAAATAAATAAGTAAAAATGCAAATAAATTTTTTTTTGATTAATTAAAATATATATCATTACAATTCTATTCTACGAGTTTTCGTTTCTTAAAACCTATTCATAATACTCTCATAAGAAATAATATTAATTATTCTTTTCGCTACATTAGACACCATACAACTACTCATGAAATTATCATCCATTCGATTTCGCAATTCAGTCTTGATCAACTTCATTGCCCAAAAAGCACTTTCAACTGTAGCAATAGCAAACGACAGGAGCAATGCAAATTTTATAAGGCGAAACACGAAAGAATAATTTAAATACTACTTTACCTTAACTAGCATTTCAGAAAGATCGCCAAGTCCTTTTAAGTTGGAGAATCTTTTATCAACATTACAGACATCAACTATACAAGTCTTTAGCTGATTTCTAAGAGTAATCATTACATTATTACCATAATCATCATGCTATAATTTAACCATTCCTTATATGTTTTTGATGTTAAAATTAGAAAGTGAGTCAACTGGATTCAAGCAAGCAACTCCAATAAGCAAATCTATTCTAACATCATTAAAAGATCATTGAGTTCTTGAAGCTGCCAATCAATAATCTTAAAAAATACTTTCACACAATAATGATTTGAAATAGTATACTCAACAACTTTACGTCGAGATCTTCCAAAATTAACGTAGAACTCATCAAAATTATGTATCAAAATATCATACTTGAAACAAAATGCAGACACAATCTCGACAAGTGAATCCCGTCCTTCATTTCTTAAATCTTGCGATCGTTTCTTCACTACTTTAACAAGTAAAATGACATTTATAATATCTTGTTCTTTCTTTCGTAAAGACTCATTAAGCTCATTTGTGATCGCTAAAATACCTCTCATTAAATGCAATATCAAAGCAATCTCAAAAGTTTGACAAACTTTAAAATATCCGATTACCTTAGCTTTTTCTTTAACAGATTCAGAATCAACACCAATAGTATAAAGAATATCAGTAATAGAGCCAAACATACTAATGAAGTTCTTAAAAGATTTATATTGTGAACACCACCGAGTATTGACACAGCTCTAGCAAAATCAAGTTCCTGATTCAATGTCTTACCACTTTCAACCTCACCTATATCAAGTGTCACTTGAACTTTTTTAGCTTGAAATTCTCGAAGTTCATCCATACATTTAAAAGAACCTCCCACTACATTTAACACATTAGAAATCAGCAATACAAGTTCTCCAACTTGGAAATATTTTTTAGATACCCCAACAAGAGTTAACTGAAGTTGGTGAGCAAAACAATGAATTGCATGAGCTGATTTACGTTCTTGTTGAATCAAAATTTAAGGCCACTTAAACGCCCGTTGCTAGCTCCATCATAAAGTTGCCCCCAAATAAAAAATAGACTCAAATAATGTTGCACAAGATAGTTAACAATAACTTCTTTCATACATAAAGCACTAGTATCATGAACATGAATAATTCATATGAACCATTTCACCACAGACCCCTTTCTATCAGTATAGCGCAAAACAATTGTCATTTGCTCCATACTTGATATATCACAAGATTCATAACTAACAATGAAAAATGGTCACCGTTTAGATCCTCCATAATAACTTTCATTGTTTCAAGCTTACATGCAATATCTTTTTGAATGTTATTAGAAGTCATCTGCTCATTTTTTGGAGCCTTTTTCAACACAAGTTCACCAATTTTATTATACCGCTTCGCATACTATGAAAGAATTTCAAGAAACGTTGCCTTTATTTAGTGATAATTTATCTTCACGATGTCTACGAAATGTCAATCCTTGATTCAAGAGAAGTCTCACCACTTCATTTGAAGCCTTCCAGCGAATTTTGTGCTCAAGCTTGATTTGATTGGATAGCTTAACAAATGCGGCTTGAATTGATTGTTCTTGTCGCATTAGATCTTCACACTTCTTCTTTGCTGGATTGTGAGCACTCTTTGACTTGCCAATATGTGTATCTAATCTTTTCTTTTTGTGCCAACTCCTGAACCCTATACTTGAAAATACTTCACCTTCACCTTGATGAATGCTTTCATCTTGAAATAATAAGTTGCATCTTCAGTCACACTATACTCCAAGCAATCATGATAGCTTTTTAAATCATTTGCAATTAAAAATACGTTTTAATCCATAAATATCGTTTTAAGGAAAATCGTGAATTCGAGGTTGATGAGGACCTCTTTGGATATATGTCCGTCTAATCTCATCATGTTCATCCGCATGATAGTTTTGACTGGATATTCTTTTCTTTGGATCTGCCGGTAAAGAATCCAAATCTACTTCTTGTTTCGATATTTTAGCAGAATGATGAGTTTCTTCTAATTGGTTCAAGTTTTCTTCCACCCGAAGAACATTTTAAGCGATGAACTTGCATTGGTTGTAGCAACTTGGAGGATATAGGGGAGAAAAATCTCTTCATTTAATATTCAACCTATATTAACAAATTAAAATTCTAATTAGAAAGTAACTAAGTAAAGCATTGTTAAATAAATGAAATTTGAATTAAATGATCTTGTAATTTGCATTGCTTAACTTTAATAAATTTCCATAACATCTTATTAACTTGACGTTATTATGTCGAAAGCATTCTCCTCAAGTTAGATCTCAATAAAAAACTAAGGACTACAATTTAGACAAGACGCTTTTATGAGGCTAACAACGTACATATCTAAACAATGTTAATACATTTGAAAAAAAACACTAACTTATGAATGAGACAGTAAATAACAAGGTGGACAAAAAACTAGTCTTCAAAATAAACTAATAAGATAAAAGAATATTATGAATGACTTCTCTTCATTGAACATTTAACAAATAAAAACAAAATATTCAATAAAATTATCACAACCTTAATTTTAGAATCGAATACGTAGAAATATACCTAATATTATTTATAATTTTACGTTGATTTTAGAATGATAAGGGATTTTTTAGTTGAAAAAATAAAAAATAACCACAATAAACATATGTATATATAAAGACTAGAGTCAAGAGAGAAAAACATACTTGATGGATATTGCCTATTGATGCGAGATTTGAGAGACAAAGAGTCTCTTTTCTTAAAAAAAAAAGATGCTCAAAATTTTGGGGATGAAAAGTAAGAGAGGCTCATGGAAGTGTTCAACAAAGAAGAAGAAAAAAAGATTTTTAGAATTGAGAATAATAGGAACTAATACTTTTTTGGTTGAGTTTTTTTAAATACAAAAAATAAAAACAAAAAGGACAAAAATTGATGACAATTGAACTTTTAAATGTAAAAGTAAAAAGTTGTTCTACTTTTTATAGTTCCCAAGTAACTAAATGGACAAAAGTTACCTAGATAGAGGACAAAAGTCTGTGTGGACGTTTTATATTATATAAAAAAAGAATTAAAAATAAATTGTGCAAACAAGAATTCAATCTTGGGTTGGCTGGGAGAAACTGAAACCCCTCAACCATTTGACTAAATTTAGACTTAGTGTTAATGGGTCAAAAGTTAATATATAGATATAAAATTTTAAAAATTGATTCAATATACATATACATACGGTGTTATTTTTCAATGAAAGTGAGTTCATATACAACTGTAGGTCCGCCCCTGCTAATTACTCCCCACCCCTCCTTATTTCATTATTTTCCAGTTTCGACTCAATCTCTTCTCCCTCATTTCGTGGCTAGGGTTTCACAGTTTTTTTGTGGCTAAGTTTCAAAGTGGATATTCGTGATTGTAAATTGGTAATTTTCTCTTATTTTATTATATTTACGATTTCAAAGCATGATATTTAAGATTTCATAACTTTCTCCTCATTCCGTGGGTGTGGTTTCATAACTTTTTTCGGGGTTCAGTTTCAAAGTGGATATTCGTGATTGTATGTTAGTAAATCTTTTTTCTACTTCCGTAAATATGAAGGGTACTTTGACCCAATAGTTTAACAGGAAGGATAGTTTTGAGACGAAATATAATTTAATGATAAATTCAAGCTATTTTGCATAGTTTAAGAATATTTTTAATTCTTTAATTAAAAGTACAATAAGTTATAATAATATTAACAATTTAAAATATTTTTAAAATCATATAAAAATTTCGATAACTTCTTAAATTTTATAATATCACATAATTGAGACAAAAAGTATTTTATTAATTACAAGAGGCAAAGAGTCACTCATACTTCTTTGGTGAAAAAATATATTTTATTAATCTCCATGCAACACTGTACAATTACAAAGAAATAAGAAAAATCAACATACCTATGTATTAGCTATATCTACACAAGGGAAAATATAGAGCCTGTTTGACTCAACTTAAAAGCTGGTCAAACTGAATTAAAAGCTGGTTTTTGACTTATTTAGCTGTTTGACAATATTTAAAATAACTTATTTTAAGTTAAAAAAAACTTATTTTAAGCCAAAAGTTAAAAGATAGGGTAGGAGT